GGTCGCATTCCCACCAACCATCCATATAACTTTCACCGAGACCCAGTGAACCATCTTGTAACACGCGTTTAAAAAACTCAGGGTTTTTTACACGGATATCAAAAGGACGTGAGCCGTTGATCTCGATGTCAGCCTCAGTGATTAATTTATGGACAATTCGATACCAAGCGTTATCTCGAAAGCGCGGGTCTTTGATACTTGAGGAACTCATAGCTTCTTTATTACTTTTCTTTGAAATGACCCGTCAGGAAAAGCCAGGCAATGCCTGCGAGCCTAGAAACTGAACCACACCGGCTTTTTTGGAGAGTGTTTTGTTCGAGCCCTTAGACTGCTATATCTCCAGCCCGTTGAGAAGCGTAATACGCTTTTTCAGCTTCCACTGGCGGTATGTAACCGATTCGTTTCAGCAGCCGTTGTTGTCTTTTTCTTCTTCTTCTTCGGTTTGATTGGCACTGGTTAGGTAAGCACGGCGAAACACATCCGAACCCGACAAGTTGTCAGTCGGAACTCAGCCGTTGTTGAACTCTATCCTAGAGTTAACCCTATCCTATCTAGAGCTGTGTTTCGATTCCCCACCCGGGTGCACCCGATATTATAGTATACGTGACATATACTATAATATCGGGTGCACCCGGGTGGGGAATCGGAACACAGCATTAGTCTATCCAGTCTAGTGTGGTCAATTCTACGTAGCCGGAAACATGTCCCGCGGCTCACGGCTCAGCAATGGAGGGGATAACGCGCATTCGTACGTATCATCTTATTGTACTTTCTTAAAATTTCATTACCATTATATGCATCTCGTACTACATCATTAGTAATAAACTCAAAAAAAATTTTTGTCACGAAAACAAAGCTTCCTCTATGAGGAGGCAAAAGGAGAAAAAGATTACTTTTAGATAGATATGTTAGATAGATTAGATGAATTAGATAAATACCGCAAACACAATGAAGGATATGCATCGAAGGTCGCATTATGCGCAACAAATAAACCTGCGCACACCAATGATGAATAAATAATTTCTTATAAAAATATATCTGACCATATTTCCTCATTGTACTGAATCTATAACACAGTTAATTAGAATGCCAGGCATAGACATAGTATAATGGAAAAGTTGTAAGTTGATTGGCTACCCCGTCTCCTTTTGCCGCGCGGCAAGCGTTTCCGCGTCCTGTATGCAGAAGCCATCAGACATGTTTATTTTTTCACACATTATTTTATTAAAGTTTTTTAAATATTTTTCTATTGTAGATTCCACATTTTTTAAAATACTATCTACAAATACCAACTTTATTTCAAATATATGTGTAATGATTGACAATGCGCAATTATATATATTGTGACTTATATATATTGACTTATATATATGACTTATATATATTGTTATATCGTTAGATGAATGAATATCTATGCATTTTACATTTTCTATTTATAGTGATATCTAAAATGATATCTGCAAGTATTAACTTTATTTCAATATGCAATGATTTCCATTCTACGCAGTATTCATACGTAACAAATTAAAAAACAAGGTTCAAGTAATCACATTGCAAAAACATACATAAATACCTAAGAATAGATGCTTTAAAAGCGCTTAAAGGATGGAATGTTTGTAAAAAACCAGTGTTTCATAAAAGTTTAAATATAAATACTAATACGTAAAATGTATTAAAAAACAACGATCAAAGTACATGTTTTCTACGATGACAGTTATTAATGATATGAAGTAACATATCATTAACATATGTAAGAGAAGTAGCATACATATAGAAGTAGCATATGCAGCAAGTCGTTAGAATTTTACTTTTATTTTTTTTAATAATTCAGGTTGTCCATAATAATAAAAATAGCTTGTAGAATTGCGTGTGTGTGTGTGAACATCTGCTTTAAATTTGAAATATACAATTTCACAAACGGTTACAAGTTTATCACTCTTTTTTTTTTTAAGTACTAGAACAACACAGGCGCGCGCTACGCGCGCGCTTTTATTTACGGAATTTTTTCAATTTTTAATGATATTTCACTTCGTTTCCGAAAAATATGCCCGCGTCACTATAAATGCCGCACCCTGTATATTATTTTCAAATGCATTGTACAAAAAAAAATTATGTTCATTAAAAAATTCATTATTATAATTAATATAATAGTTTAATCAATATATTTTTTTAATAATAATAATTATTATTATTTATCAACATAATTCTTTTTAATATAATATATTTGAATATAATAAATATATATTACACACTGTAATAAATATGTATAATGTACTTCGTATTATATCCCGTTGTAGTATCGATAGTAAGAAAGCAAGAAATCATCAAGTCGGTAATTATTCAGTTTAGCGTCCTCACCTCTAATATCGATGAAATTATGCTCATTCGATGCGTTTTTGCATAAAACGAAAGAATATAGCAGAAAAAAGCGTTGCTCTGCCCCGCGAAGCGAAATATTAATAGTTAAAGTTGACGTTTATTTAGGTTACAAAACCTGTCATACCGACGAAATGCAGCGACATGAGTATGTTCTATTAAACATATATATATCCACATATATACGCAAGTATAAAATTCTCAAAAAGTGGTGCTTATTAGCCTTGTTGCATAACTGTTTTCTGTCACGAGAGGCCAGAAAGCATTTTCAGGCCGTATTTCGGCCGTAAAGCGATACACTAGAGGAACAAGGATAGCACGCGATTGTCGCTCCTTGTCTGATATTATCTCCCAACAATCGTATCCGTGTGCTCAACGTATCGGTGTGTGCCTTCACGGACGCTACACACATACGCGATGAAAGAGAGACAAAGACAGCGCATCATCTCTCTTTGTCAAACGATCAGTTTGATGCTACCAGCATCGACAATATCGAAAAGTGGATGTAGCACGGACATGAACTAAAATCGAAAAGTGGATGTAGCACGGACATGAACCAATCGGCTGTTTTATCGGCTCCGAAAGTGGATATGGCCTCCTTGCGTTCTCTCTCGCTCGCACGTAGCATAGTGTACTTTTTCGCTATGTTACATGCGAGTGAGAGAGAACGCAAGGGGCACGGAACAGAGTATGTCCTTTTCTACGTGCACCTTGGCCCTCACTCCTCAACACTCGGTCTAGATATACTATATACTATGTCTATGGTGAACTATGGTGGCGACTCTCATTCTTCTCTCTGATAGAAGTCTGTGGCAGTCTGTAGTCTGTGTGGTGCGAACTGTCCGGTTGACCGGCTGACGAGATCAGGTGCGCGCGCTTCGCCCTCTCGACGAGTCATGCCGGCCGCGAGGATCTAAATCACGGTCAACCAAATTTCCCTTCCACGGCGTTAAACATGAGTAACGTCGTTCTTTCCTGCATTTATCGCGGAGCAGCAACGATCCACAACAACAACACGGGTGTGTCGTCTAGTAACGTATCGCCCCGATACGGTGCGATCAAGTGTGTCAATCGCTTCGCCGAGGGTCAAGTATGTCGGCGCTCTCGTGGGCGCTAAGCACGCAGGTCAACGTGCACGCACGTCGACCAACCGCCAGGAGAATGTCGGCCACCGCGGCGAATTCCCAGGACAAGATCGCCGCCTGTAACGGCGGGGACGATGTTGTGCCGGTGATGACGCACCCCACCACCAGAGGTGGACTCAGGGTCTACAAAATCGTGGTGCTGGGCGACGGTGGTGTCGGCAAATCAGGTATCGTATATATAAGCGATTAAGATTAATTAAAACATTTAACATTATATTTGAATCGCATTCTGTGACGATGGTTGCTTTTCAGCTGTTACTCTGCAGTTTGTCAGCCATAGGTTCCTCAACTATCACGATCCCACTATAGGTAAGTTAATCAAATGCTAAGAGAGCACTGCTCAAGTTTGTTTAATAATGATTTCTCTTTCATTCGTAGAGGACTCGTATCAGAAGCAAGCGGTTATCGATGGTGAGGCGGCTCTCCTGGATATCCTGGACACAGCTGGACAGGTTCGAGATTCTTATGTATGTTACGATGGTCAAAATCAGCATCATGCGATATATATTGATATATGTTCCTCTCATGTGCATCCTTGTTTAATGTTATTACAATTGGGAACGATCCTCTTGCCTTGTGCACAGGTGGAATTTACGGCGATGCGCGAGCAATATATGAGATGCGGCGAAGGTTTCATGATATGTTACTCGGTGACAGATAGGCACAGCTTCCAAGAGACGATGGAGTATAGGAAACTGATATCACGCGTGCGCGCCAACGAGGACATTCCTCTAGTACTAGTCGGCAATAAGTGTGATCTCCAACAGCAGCGAAAGGTACTTTGGATACTCTCTGTTGAGTTGACGTAACAGAATATACATAGTAATTATATATAAAAACAATGAGATATCAAAGTGTCTACTCCCTGAAGAAACGTAGAAAACTTGGACTCTTCAAAGATTTTTTTTCTACTTGGAAAAATTAGGAAATTTTCATGGAATTTTATTGGGACTTCCAAATTTTTTTAAAAATTTCTCTGATAATTTTGCTTTCATATTGTAAACAGTCGGCAAGCCAAGTTAATTATTTCTTTAAAATATATTATAAATATATATATCTGTTTATATATATTTAATATCTTAACAAAATATTGAGTATGCAATATATTTCTTTATTGTAATTTTAAATGATAAAAAAATGAAAATGTTACACAGGTGAAAAATTTATCTTATGAAAGCTATCCAATTTCAAAGCTATTCAAAAATGCCTGGAAGATCAGGACATTTTTTTACAAGATTTGAGTAGACACCCTGGATATATAGGGTGGCCCATGTAAAGTGTGTTACAAGCCAATAACTCTAAAAATATTTATGGTATCACAAAATTGTTCATGGGAAAATTTCATGTATTTGAGGGGCCTTTCTAACTACGCGTAAACATAAAATTGCTCTCACTCTCCCTTCAAGGGGGGCGAGGGTAACTTCATTATTTCAAAAGGAACTTCCTATAAAATGTTACATATTTGGATTCTACAGGAAAAAACAAGTAAATTTTATCTGAAACATTTCTTTGAAAAATGCTTCTATCAAAAGTTATAAACATTTGAACTTTATAGAGTACATTCAAACTAACGATAAAACCATAAATTAAATGAAAGACTTCATAGTTTTTTTGCTTTTTTTACTTTATTAAATATTTGAATTATTGTTCATTCTCATCTAAACATTTATTAATTCTTTCTACAAAATTTTGTCTAACTCTAAACAACATTTCTGGGTTCATGTTTAAAACGACAGCTTAAAACTAACTAAATATATAAACCTGTATTTACGTTTCCCGATTAATGTGTATGTATGTATGTATGTTTTTTCCTGTTAATATCAAGTACATACTCCAAGATTGTTTTTTATTTTATTTTCATTACGAACGCAAGCTTATCAATTGAGTCTAGTCAAATGAAATCACTAAAAGTTTAAATGCTTATAACTGATAGAAGAATTTTTCAAAGAAATGTTTCAGATAAAATTTACTTGCTTTTTCCCATAGAATCCAAATATGTAACATTTTATAGAGGATTCCATTTGAAATTAGGAAGTTACTCCCCGTCTCCCTTGAAGGGGCAGTAGGAGCGACTTTATGTTTACGTAGTTAGAAAGGCCCCTCGAATACATGAAACTTTCTCATGAACACAACTTTTTGATTCGATAAATATTTTTAGAGTTATTGGCTTGTAATATTTTATGTGAACCACTCTGTGTATATATATATAGATCTCTCTCGCATATATATTGAATTCTCGGAGTTATGTTATTTCAGGTGACCACGGAGGAGGGCAAGGCACTAGCGGAGGAACTTGGCTGTCCGTTTTACGAGACATCCGCCGCTCTCCGACAATTCGTAGACGATGCATTCTTCTCCCTGGTCAGGCAAATACGCGCTAAAGAGAGATCCCGCAACTCACATCGCAAGCGCAGCCGTTGGTGGCGAATCCGTTCGATATTCGCTTTTATCTTTCGACGAAAGCAGAGGCATGCTTTGCACTATTCACCCTAAGAAAAAAAAACTGCGAAGTTTCGATAACGAGATCTTCTAGTAGTGAGACTATTGAACCAATAGAGGATACCAATAGCAATGACGAGAATAATATCGTAGCACAGATCACACAACGAAGTAGATATTACCGATAATATTTTTGTTTTATACGCTATATAATTTCCCTCGTTTAGAGACTGATGATTCGTTAACATCTCACTGCCTTATTGTTGACCCCCGCGGGTGCATGTACTCCGAATATAGTAAATTAAAATTGTAAACAGAACAGAGAGAGACTGGAATAATGCATATTGTATTTATGTTAGATCTGAGATCTCGGATTAATCGATCATTCGCGCATGCTGCTCAACACAGAGAAACAAAACACGATACACATATACACACACATATTATATATATATATATATATATATATATATATATATATATACACACAGAGTACATATACCCATTTTAACATTCACACCGTAATATCTTGAAAACCATGCATTTTCAAAAAAAATGTTTCAGACAAAAGTTATTTGGCTTGAAGGGGGATATAAGATGGTGCTATTGATTTGATCTTGGATAGTCGTTTGAAGATCATGTGAAGGTCACCTTTAATTTCTTAAATGGAAATGGGGGATTCGTGGAAACCCCCATTTTCCATTACATATTCTTGTAGCTTAGCTCGAGAGCTTTTCAAAACACTATAATAAAGTATTTTTTATTAAATATTTTAAGAATAATTAGACAAATCAATTGGTATAAAAAAAAAAAATTTTTTAAGAAAAAATATGTAATTATTTACAATGTATCTTTTTTTAACAATTATTTGATTTTTTTACACAAATTGATTTCTCTCATCCTGTACATAAAAGTATTACGGTAAGATTATCGACAACTAAATATTTTACGAAATATTTTATTTTTTATATCAAAATATGTCAGATTAAAATATAAAATAACTCGGAAAATACTTAATGAAAAAATATTTTATTATAGTGTTTTAAAAGGTTTTTGAGCTAAGCTACAAGAATAATGGAAAATGGGAGTTTCCATTTAAGGAATTAAAGGTGACCTTCAAACGACTATCTAAGGTCAAACCAATGGCATCTTCTTATGATCCCCTTCAAGTCAAATAACTTGTCTGAAACATTTTTTTTTGAAAATGCATGGTTTTCGAGATATTACAGTGTGAAAGTTAAAATAGGACACCCTGTATATATATATATATATATATATATATATATATACAGTGGATTCATACTTTCCGCACACTTACGAGACTTCCAGTTTTCTAAGATTTCTTCCGCAATTTTAATTTACCTTGTATAGGCCGGCAATTTTTTTAAATTACGTTTCATGAAGATTAGTGGCGTAAAATGAAGGTAAACGCAGAGCCTAAAGCAAACGCATTCACTTAATTTTTGGATAAATTCATCTCTAACGAATCATTTTCTAATAGTCGATGTTTAGATTCTAGTTTACACTATTAGTAGCTGATCATGTGACCAAAGAGAGAAATATATAAAGCGTTAACAAGTATATAAAGTAAGAAGTGATTCTTAGCAATACAGAAAAAGAAAGCGAGTGCAAGATATTATTATAAGAGTTTTACAATACAGATTGTTGCAGTTTTAATTATTGATAAAGGGATATGAAAATTGAATTTTTTATTTATTCTAATTTAATTCAATGTAAATACAAGAGATATACAATATTAAATGATTTTAATAGTTAGAATACACTGCTACAAATTATATGTATGAAAGTTATATAAAAGTTGCAATAAGTTGCAAAGTTTAGAACTGTTATGTATTATGTGAATCACACATATGATCTCTTTAAGATATCTCAAAGAGACATTTCTCAATTAAAATACACGAATGTGTGTCTGTCATAGATATAAATAATTAAAAAACTGGCAATAAAAGCAAATATTACATAAATTCTGTGGAAGTTGGAAAAAATATCATGTAGGCTTTAAAATAATTAGAACTCGTATCTGCGGTAGAAATATATCCCGAAAGAGCATTTGAATGCAATTTAATTTTTGTTAACAATATCTTCATGCCCTAATCACACGCGCAGCTCTAAAAGTATGTAATTATAATTCATATAGTTTAGAAATATTGATCACAGTCACTAATTATTCTTTAATGTAGTGCTATTTAGTCACGAGCTGATTAAGTGAGATGTTTGTAGTAAAAGAGATTCATACTAATACATATATAAATGGAAGAGGAAACAAAAATCATTTATAGACATAAGTCCACATAGTAATTATCTAGTCGTTACTTAATTTCTCCTAGTCACATTTTGCATTTCGTCGTAATACTTCTTTAACTTGTACATTAACTTAATCATGAAAAAAAAACGTCGACTAAAATGCACATTTTTACATAATGATTTTCAAATGTGTCGAGTGTATTGCAACACATATTTACAATACATATATTGTGAATATATATAACTATATATATAATTCTCAATATTTTCAATACTGGCTATTAACAAGTACTGATGATTTGTTTCATAATAAAGCAGTGAGAGTGTAGCTATATTTGTAGCAGCAAATATTAAAGTATTACTGGCAGCATTGACAATGAAATATATAATTAATATAGTGTAACTGCATTGATGAAAATAAATGTATGGTAAATGTAATAACTGTATGTTTAGAGAGATTGACATAATATGCGAAGAGTAGTCATATAAAGAATTTTGGTAACGTTGCTATTTTATATATTGGCGGGTTCGTTTTATTTATCAGGTAGGAGTTAAATAAATTAAGCATCAAGCGTATAATATGTGATGTAGATTGTGAATGTTGTACGTAATAATGAGAATATCGTGACCTTAATGGAAAATGTAGCGAACATATACCTATATAAGGAACAACAGCATATATAATTTACGAGAACAATATAATAATCAACGATTATTTTAAACTGTTACATTTTTGTTTAACTTAAATATGCATATTCATTTATATTTGCTATATATATATGTATACACTTTCGAAAATGTTGAAATTTTAATATGTATAGAATATTAGGAAAAAATGGACCATATGGGTTGACATGTAATTTTTTACTTAATATATACATATACATATATAAATAGTAGCCTGACATGTATATTGAATAATGCATCGCACAATGTAGGGCAAGTCAACATCACACGTAAACTTTAGGGATTTCGCGATACCCAGATGTGTGAAATTTTATGTAAGCTAATTATATTTTCGATATACACTGGATCTAACACAAAACTTGTACATTTCACACACATCATGGATATGTGTAAATAATTTTACAGTAAAAATGTAATCCTGCATTCATGAAGGAATACATGAAAGAGATGAGACTTTTGAAATAATCAACTGATGCAATATAATGCCTAATTAATTCCCGTTATCACAAATATGTTACAAATTTGTATTGTTACTTACCTTTATTAACAGAAAGCGCAAAACTACTTTGTGTATATCAAAATTTATTGTCTATTTTTTTTATAAGACTATAATAAAACTGGCAAAAAAAGATAAGACGAGGATATTTATTTAATAAAAAAGACTATCCGATTTTATATTTTTATATAAAACATTCACAGTTCATTACATAGTTTTATCACTTTTTTCAAGTGACACAAAACATGGCTTATTAAAAAATCATTCAAGATATTTTGTCTTTTCTTATCAAATATTGGTAATGCTTTTGCATTCATTCTCAGATCTTTAAACGATCACAATCGATTCACTTATTGCACAAAAATTCCATATATATTTGCAAATATATGCGTATCAAAAAGCAGAATAAACTTATTTTGGCACATATGTACATTACTTTGTAGTTTTTCATCCTCATAATAATGTAAAAAGATTATTAAAAATGTACATGCTTTTAAAATAATAATGTATACATAAAAAAATTCTTGTATCACAAACAATTAAGTATGATACAATGAAATGAGTAAAATATACTTTGTATGATATAGTGTGAGATATAATGACATCAGCTAATATTTATATATGTAACTATAACTTTAACCAAATTAAAGTTTCTTTTTTAGCAAAATTGCGTTATTCTCTTTTAAAATATATATATTGCATGGGTATATCATATATTTTTATCTCCAGGTTTCTTTGTCATACCTTGCATTTTTTCCTCTTCTCCGTAATTGTCTGGAAGTAGCATAGTCTCTTCTGTATTTTGAATGTCATCTGCATTGTTATCTACATAAATAATAAAAAAATAAAAAAAGAATTATCGCTAATTACAATTTGCGTTCTCTCTCTCGAGTTATTTTAAAGTCCAGTTTTTTCTACATTGAAGACATTATTTTTATTTTATTTTATTATTGATTTGTATGTGTGTGTCAATAGAGAAAGAGATTTTATAAAAAGTTGTGTACAATAATGCGTGCTTAAGAAAAAATTCAATCCAATTCCTCTTTTTGTGTGGAATATCATGATTATTTACTGCGTTCCAGCAAAAATAGAAGCGATAAAATGTGTGAGATCACTATATATAATGTTCTAATTACCACGTGCACGATTCTCAGGATCTTCCAAGTTGTCGGCGATTGCGATATCCTGTTCTGCGGCATCGTTCGACGTGCCATTGACTTGTTTCGATTCCGTTTCAACTGAAAGCCACGTAAGGTAAATTACTATACTAAAATAAATGAAATTCGTATACATATTTCTGAAAACATTTTAATTATAACGTTATACAGAATGGCAACTCTAAATGAGAGTTATATCACACACATTAGACATATTAGTAATTAATAATGTAACTTCCACCATATATTTGTCTGTACTCCATGCATGTTAATCTAAAATATGTTAGTTTTCTCATGTCAATGTTTTTTTAAATAATAATAACAATAATCATTATTATATGCGCGATCACACACAATTCTTTTGTATAAAAAAAGGTGTTTTATCAAATATATATTACATGTAATTTTTTGGTAAACATGTTTTATGCTAACATTTTTGAAGAGTTGACAGTTATAGTTTATAACATCGTTTTTTTTATTGTTTAACATATTTTTTGCAAATACAAATTGAAGTTTGCGCGTGTCTTAGTTTATATTTAAATACTTTATATTATTTGTATAAGATTTTATTATAAATATAATGTCATATTGCAACAAGCTGCGTAAGTAAATCGCAAAATTACTCATAAATCTTATAGTTGTCTGTCACATAACTTAGTTATAAATCATTCAACAATCTTGGATGTTTTACATATATGGCAAAGCATCCGATATGTAAAGGTTTACTTTTATAGCACGCACAATACAATTTAATATATTCTTGCTCTCTTCTTTAATATCAACTTAGAAAAAAAGGCATACTAAAACAATGAAAATACAATATTCTTATAGAAAAATGAATTTGTAATAATACTTGCATGGCACTTATTGATTCTAAAATTAATTCTGTCTGATTTAAATTATACAAGTGGTACACAATAGTGAGAAGTTAAACTTTGTAATGTAAAAAAGCATAAGAAAAATTAGCGAATTGTATTACATTTTTATTTCATAAAGACAGACGATTTCTTGTGTTACAATTAGAATAATCTGTCTTGTATGAAAATGTTTCGGCGATTGAAGATTAGAGAAATGATGTTTCATGTGTCATTAGGATGAAACAAAGGGGCTGGATACGCGTGATACCACATCATTAAGTTAAAAGCGATACAGCGGATTTATACTTAATAAAGGTTCACTTACAAGTGTACCGAAAAAAATTGTGTAATTTATATATACAAATCTATTGCGAATCTTTAATTTCATGTCTGTGGCAGCATTCTCTCGCCCCGTGGACGAGGAAAGGTATCACTACCTTTCTTCAACATAGTCACTGAGAAACGAGGAGTTTGGCGCACAGCACCGGGTGGGTCTGATGGTAGGATCGGAATTCCGTGGAACATCAAACCTCGCCGACCAGCTACGGATACTCTTACAGCAGGCTCCGCTATCAGATGCAACTGAGGCTTGTTAGGAACCACTGTCATTGCTAGATCAGCAAACCCCGATAATATCTTATAATGCTGAGCCAGTCAAAGGTGTGCAAACAAAAGGGAACGTGCCTATTAACTCGCGTTAATTCCTGCATGAGCAGCCTAAACGTAATTAAAATTAATGGGAATATCGACGAGATTCGAAAAAAAAAGACCGAAGGGCATCTTTCTTCCGCCGTTAAAGCAGGGTGCAATTAGCAATCTAAGTTAGCAAATATCTCGATTCATACAATTATACTAGTAATACAATGCGAATAATAATTTTTGTACTATGTATATAAATTGCTTCGAGTTAAATAAATTTTGACTATTATTTGAATGTGCGATTGTTGATTGTAATAGAGAAAACCCAAACTTATAGGAGCATGTCAAACGAAATTCATTATGAAGGTAATTATAACTTACGTGGCTGGAGATTCGGAGTCTCTTTCTTCTCAGATGGCAAAGTACAACTAAGCTTAAGTTGGTCCATCTCTGCTTTCAGCTGTAAAATAAGTTGTAAGTATATTTCGTCATCCCAGGACTTTCTTACAAATCATATTCAACTTTACATTAACGTTATTATTAAGAAGAAAGTTCATACTCTGTATACTTCCTCCTGAAGCTCCTTGTATTCATTCCGCTTCACATCTAATTGAGTATTAATCGTCTCCTTTTCTAATCTCAATGTTTCTAGCGTCGCGGTTTTAGTGGCATCCAGTTTGGCTAATGAGTCCAGCTCACTTTTGCACACAGTAACAGAATCCTCGAGCTCATCATTTTTCTTTTTAAGATCAATTTGCTGTTCCAAGCGAACATGTAACGTAGCCAACTCGTCCTCTGTATGCTTATACCTTTGTTCCAAGTTACCGCGCAATGTCACACATTGATCCCTCTCTTCGGCACTGAAAGAGAAAAATCAATTTCCGTATCACAATGAAAGAAGGCACACAATCTTGATAAACAGGTGAGAATAACCTGAGAAAGACTGAAGGCAAGCATAATGTTATGCACATGTACTGTGCAAATAAGCCGCAAGGAAAGATTGTCGCAAAAAGGAAATTCATGTATCACTTTTTATAACACAAATGATATAATCACAATTCTCACATATACAAAATATATAAAAAAATAGAAATTTTATTGCTTGATATCTATGACTATTTTAATTCAGCTATCTTCATTATAATAATTTCAGTTCGTACAATGTGGTAATATCGTAACATTTTGAAAATCAAACTTAATTATACGATTAGAATTAAATTATACCGATCTAAAAATCAATGATTGTCATTTTTATTGACAGTAAGTCTGTTCTTTATGGAAAAGTATATTATTATGTACTATAAAGATAGTAATAATAATATAATATATGAATAATAATATTATAATAAAATAATATATAATAATAATAATAATAATAATAATAATAATATATGATAATAATATACTTTATATATTATTTATTTCTTCAGCTATAAAGAAAATACCTGGTATATAATAATCGAAAAGTATATATAAGTTAGTAAGAAAAATTTGGTTCGATGCAAGACAACTGTCAACCGCTGTTGACAGTTCTCACCTGATCTTGAGCTGCTCGTTCAGATCGTCGATCTGCCTGACGAGCTCCAGGTTCTCGGACGAGAGGGTCCACCAGTTACAGATGAGCATGAGGCACGCCAGTAGAAGTCCTCCGACCAGGAGAGGCGGGCATCTACCTCCGCCGACCCTCATACCGTCGATTCCCATAACTATTTCCGTCTTTTCCGTCTTGTACGTCAGCTATCGCGCTATCAACGGAACATATGTCGCGTTATCGCCGGATCCGCGGCCGGTATGCAAATGAAATCTATACGTGTCACTATAATGTGCTCGTGCTCGTGTTCTCTTATGAAAACACGAGCCGCGTAACCCCACTCCTAAATCCGATTCTCTCGTCAGGGCCAGGGGGCAAACGTTAGGAAGACGTCGTCGGGGAACGACGTCGCGACGAGGCTTTTTCAGGGAAACTTTCGCGCGATAGCCATTTGAAAAAATCACGTATTTATTATGATGAATTAGGGGCCTGCTCTGATATTATACGTCGCGGGCACCGGCGACGATACGACACGGTACACGATACGGCGTTCTTATACTATGCGGCATATACGGTTTTGACTCTGATGACAGACGTGTATACCGAGTGTCGCAGAAAAAAGTGCAACGCTTTCTATAAGTTACCGGAAATTTTTTCTTCTTTTCTGTCTCGACATATCTGAATATGTATTTTTATATAAAAAAAGAAATTGAAAAATAATTAGAGGAATAAAAAAAAAAACAAGACTAAAAAAGGCAAATATATATTATTTCTTATCTCGCTAATTGTCATTGTCATATCATCGAGGAAATATATAGTGAAAATTATATATAATTCGGTATAATCTTTACAGAAATTTACAGTAATTTTTACAGAAAGCGTGCATGCGCATATTTAATTTATGCTAACAATTAATAAAAGTGAAGAAATGAATTTTTATTGTGTGACAATTTAAAATGATATTGAATTGTGCAGATTTTTACCTTTATCACATTTAAATCCATGAAACAATAATAAACTCTTTAAAATCATATAAAAATTCTACAGCGTTTCAAACATTTCAATTATGGAAAATACAAATCTCGATTTTATGAAAATTCCTTAGATTAATCAGTTTGTTGATAACTGTATATTTTTAACTGATAATGAAAAAAATATGTGATGTATACACATACTTCACGCAAGTACGATACAGTCAATTTTTCTAAATTCTTCGTGGAAACAAATGGATTTTTATGTTTATTTTTAATCATCATCAATTATCTTTCCTTCCCCTTCATGAATGCTGAATTATCAGTTTGCAGAAAATCTGTTGGATATGCATAAAAAATGCTATCTTTCTCTTTACAACTCAGTATGAAACATGAGTGAATCAAGAGAAGAGGGAAATATTTTGCGAGACGATAGTATGGGTCACTGTAAAAAAAAAAGTTTATATCAAATTATTATAATAAAAGGAAAGTATTAATAATGCATAGAAAATTACAAATGGAAGATAAATAATATTCTTATTTTATATATTTTTCATATATTATTTGTACACGCACATGTGTTATAGAGCATGAAAAATATCACTTATTGTTAGAATTACAGTCTTTTTATTCGTTAGAAATGTCAAAAAGAGAAAAATTTTTATTTCCTGTCTTACAATTAATATTACAAACGTCCTATTTTTAAACATTTAAATTATAAATACTTCAGTACCAACATTAAAATGGCTTCTAAATATTACATTAAAAAATTGACAATGAAATAAGTCGAATCTTCATTATGCGATGTATCTCTTTTCGAAAAGTAGGAATAAGTACATTGGAATCTTCTTATTAGTTCGTAATAATAATTATTCATCGGTAGAAGAAGCAGATATTTTATTAATGATATCTACACATGCTCTTACACAAAAATCTATAAGAAAAATCTCTAAGAAAATCGTAGAAAAATTTTGTTTTATTTTTACACTCTTTTAGAATTTTTTTATTTGGTATTTTAATTTCATATTTTTTGATTTTATCTTGATTTGATATTTCTTCAAATGTTAAATATTTTTGTTGTAGAAGAAAATTTAGATATGAGTTAACTTCTTCAGTCTTATATATAATATTTCAGAGCTTTCTTAATCATATTATAATATTATAATTAAGCTGATAATTATTTCATTTTGTTTTTATTTTCAATATATTCAATATATCAATGGTTATAGAGATTTTCTTAAACACAACTTTTCTATAAAATATCTAATAAGACTAGCATTTATTGCATTGTTGAAACTATGTACTATTCCAGATTCTTCCCAGTAATTTTCCACTTTTCCGCTCTTTAAATATTTTAAAATTGACCACATAGAAAATAATCTTATATCACCTAAGTTAACATACCCGTTATAAAACGATTTAACTTCCTCTTTTTTAACAGATTCTATATTGAATTTTCTTAATAGAGCATCAACTTCTGGTTTTGTCAATACGTAGAATTTGACAAACCGATGATCATTTAGAAACATGTCTTTTTCAATATTATTGACGTCAATCCGACACTGGCAAGATAAGAAATGCCCGTCAGACGTTCTTATTTATTAAAGAGTGATAAATTAAGATCATATGAGAGAAAACAATTTGATAATTATTTGAAAAAATTTGATAAATTAAGTAAATCTCAAATTAAGGAAGGCTTACAATTTTTATTGGAATGTCCCTATAAGCATTTTAATGGCAAAAAGAAATATTTGTGTTAATTGATGAATATATGATATTCATTCTATTACTAAAGCAATGTTTAAAAGTTTTATCGGTATTGAACGAGTTAACAAATTACTCTGTAAAGGAATTCTTGTATGCTGACAGGCATTTCTTACTTTGCTGTCGTCGGACTGTCTGGCGTCAATAATGTTCATAACGATGCTCTTTTAAATAAATTCAATATAGGCCTTGCTATAAAAGAGAAAATTATTATATCGTATTATAACGGATATGTTAGCATAACGGGGGAAACCAGTGTAATGGCTAAAAAAAAGGTTGTTTTTAAGGATTTTTTCTGGTAAATATTTGTTTTTTTTTTTTAAATCATTTTATTAACATCACAAAGTACATAACGTGAACTACTTTTTGTGAAATTTTTGTTAAAAACTATTAATATTTATAGCTACAATAGCCAATAGTGTGAGTCGCCTTAAAAAAAACGGGCGCATGCGTAGCGGGACAACGGAAGCTCTGAAATAAAAAAACAAGTATTTTCTTAAAATATGAGACAATAGCTTCAGTTGCACGTACGGAATTTTCGATTGCATAATTTGTTTTTTTGTAACGTTAAAAAACAGCGATCAATTTTTCACTGATTTTGGAACTTTTTTTCAAAAGTCCGCCATTTTGTAACAAATAATTTTTTTAAAAATCCGTACATGCAACTGAAACTATTGTCTCTATTTTAAGAAAATATTTGTTTTTTTTTTTATTTCAGAGCTTTACACCATGCGTTATACCATGTACCATTCCAGAGTTTTCCCAGTACCTTTTTAATTTTTTCTCTATTAAGAACTTCATAACTGACTACGGTGAAAACAATTTTATATTTATGCTAACATATCCGGCCGTTATAATACGATTTTATTCGCGCGCTTTAGCGCAGGATAATGGATGACCTTTTTTTTTGGCACCTCAATCATTTTTGTGCTCCAGTGGGGTACATTGCGTACCCCATTCCCCATTGCAACGCCCGATTTGAACCCGAGCACTTTAGTATAGAGAGTAGACGCATAACTCTCTGCGCCACGATCGCACACATGTATCAAATAACGAAAAGGCAAATCTAAAGACAAAAAGACTAATTAAAAAGAAGAAACTAATACAATTACGTGTTGCATAACTGTAATAACTATTTAATTTTTTAAAGTAAAAAAAATTATAAAATGCTATATAATTATATAACTTTATTAACGACAATATATTTAAAGATATTATTTTATTTTATTTTTTTTTCCGCGTTGCCTGAAGCTCTAATCCTAATCTCTAAGCTTTAGTCCGAATCTACAATAAATGTAGTAAGCCAGGGCCGTCTATAATGGAAATAGGCAGTACAGAATGAGAAGTATAAGGCCCTGCGCACAATAGAAAAAATATTAGAAGAATAGAAATAAACATTAAATATCAGGAAGAGTAATTTGAAATTATTTTATTTCAAATAACAAGAAACGGAATGAATTAACGCATAATGAATTAAAAATTGGAAATAATTAATATTACATATGACGGTTCATTAAAGGGCTATCTACATACAATGGCAGTAACAAGGCTGTAGAAGTAGAGAATACACTGTTTTCAGTGATGTAAAGACCGCGGGAGTAACGAAATGGACAATTCCCATTTGGCACTCCCTGCTGCCTTACTGTCAGTCAATAAAAGACGCGTGTTCATAATCTCGCACGCTTAATCGCTATCTTCTTCTAGAGTTCTCCAAATGTCTGTTCGCTGATTGGTTGGTTATTATTTTTGCATTACTCCGCCATTGTAGACAAAAGTAAGGCCATGCGCACAATAGAGAAAATATTAGGAATAGGAATAAAATATTAAATATCAGGAGGAGCAATTTGGAATTATTTTACTTCAAACAAGGAAACGGAATGGATTAATTATTTCTAATTTTTATTTTTTTATTTCATTATGCGTTGATCCATTCCGTTCCCTTGTTTGAAGTAAAATAATTCCAAATTGCTTCTCCTGATATTTAATATTTTATTCCTATTCCGAATATTTTCTCTATTGTGCGCAGGGCCTAAAATAGACTGTTTTAGTCGTAACAGTTAGATCGTAAGCAAATTGACCAATCACGGTCAAGCATTCTTACATACGAGAACTGACAATTAAGTTCGTAGAAAATATTTATTACAATTACAATACACATTTATTCGTTATCTAATACACGGTCCCTTTTAAAATAGCCCCTTTCTAAAGCAATGCACTTGGTCCAATGTTTTTTCTATTGCAGAAAACAAAGTCTTCAAAATCATTCTCCGTGAGGCTGTTTAGAATACGCGTCATCCATTCCACCTCTGCTCGTGACCCTCAATGACGATCCTTCATGTTTTTCTTGATTTTGGGGAATAGAAAAAAGTCAGAGGGGGCCCGATCTGACCCCTCCTCCGTTTTTTTTTCTATTCTCCAAGATCAAGAAAGACATGAAGGATCGTTATTGGGGGTCACGAGCGGAGATGAAATAGTTGACGTATGTTCTAAACAGCCTCACGGAGAATGATTTTGAAAACTGCTTCCTGCAATAGAAAAAACATTGGATCAAGTGCATTGTTTTAGGAAGGGATTATTTTAAAGGGGACCGTGTATTAGATAACGAACAAGTGTGTTCTGTAATTGTAATACATATTTTCTACGAACTTAATTGTCAATCCTCGTAGTAAAAACATTTGATGACTTATGATTGGTCAATTTGCTTACGGTCTGACAGTTAGGGCCTCCGCACAATAAAAGGAATAAGGAACAGGGAATAGAGAACAGAGAACAACCGCATTGGAGGAAACGCGCGCACAACACTTTTGTGTGCGGAGATCCTTACGGTCTGACAG